GTGTTTGTCCATGCCCTATCTTTGCCTCCAAGTCTAGGGCCCTTCTTGCTGAACGAGGGGAAGTTGTGCATGTTGATGTTGGCCTCACCTGCCAACTGATTCCTGAGAGGCATAGGAAAACATCTCAGGTAGGAGGTGAGTAAAACCCGGGGGTCATAGCGCACCCGAGGGACACAAATCAGACGCTCTACTGCGTTTGTGGCCTCTCTTACTGACTTGAATTGTGTATGGTTCAAAGTCAGGATCACATCAGTGACTTTTTGAGCCTCCTGAGGATCATGCCACCTTTCTTCCACCAGCTTGAGGAAGTCATCCAATTTTTGGTTGACCGCCCAAGCGCGGAAGTCATGACCGTATCCCTGTAACTGCACTAGACCACTCAACCATCTTGCTGCTCTCCCCTCTAAATAGGAGGCAGCCACAAACACTTCTTCGTGCGGCAAGGTAAGTTTGCACTTGACATAGACTGGCACTGACCTCAACCATGTGTCGAGGTCTTCCCCCCTCTTGTCCCCTGAAAAGGGTTTGGGAGAGGCGATGGCCGTCTTTGGAACCCACTGAGTTTGTCCCGGCACCTGTCCCACTCCAGGCTGTGGACCTCGGGGACTAGGCTGCTGCACTATTTGCTGTTGGGGCTGTGTACCCTGCGGCTGTGCAGGCTGCGAGACAGCAGGCTGCCCGGTTACGACAACCTGCAACGGAGGTTGGGAATACACTGACTGTACAAGAACCTGAACACTAGGACCTGCTGAGAACCCTCCTGTGAATGGCATACCTAGGGAAATGGCTTGGACCGATGCTGGAGAGAGACATGGGGATACCCCAATCGCCGGTGGGACAGAAGGAGGAGGTTGTACAACGGGCCAGGCACCGGGCCCGGACGACGATGGTGATGACTGCGCTCGCCCGACCAGTACGGCCAGACTTTGCTGAATGTCCTGAAGGAGAGCCGTCTGCTGGTCCTGCATTTCTACTACATCTAGCAGGACAGACCGTAGGGTCCTCACATCGTCATCCATGTTCGTTAGGTCCATCTCCTCTAACTCACTAACGTCCGCTTGTCTCCGCTGCATCCTGGCTCTTCTTCTAATCATCTTCTCTTTCTCTGCCTTAATCTCTCCTAACGCTTGTTGTAGCTGTGCCTCGTGAATAGCTGCTCGCTGTATGGCGACCTCCTTAGGAGTCGACACTATTGGCTGGCTTGCCATGACGCCGGTGGACTGACTCAAGGTCTGTGCGACCGTTGACCCTACATAACTTGACCCACTAGCCTGAGAGCTCTGCTGCGCAGCAGATGCCATGGCTGCTAAAGTAGCGGCCTCGCTTACAAATGCCCTGCTTGCCTCTGCGTCCCTAGCCCTCTGCTGCTGCTGCTGTCTCTCCCTCTGCTGGCAGAACAGGTATCTGTCGCCCTCTGGTCCTAATGCCAAGTAGGCTATCGGGCGTCTTGCAGATCGCAAGATCCTAACATCCGGTTGTGGGACCTCCCTGTCTCTCATATGCTACAACACTGTACACTGTCTGCACTAGGACACTCTCGATGCCTACCGCAGCATGATGTATAGACCGATTTAAAATAAATAAAATAAATAAAATAAATAAAATAAATAAAATAAATAAAATAAATAAAATAAATAAAATAAATAAAATAAATAAAATAAATAATCGGTGGCGATGTCAGAGAATTCTCATTTGGGTCCAACAGGTAAGTTCATATTCCTAACGAAACTATTCCTACTTTGACTAGTTCGCAAACAGAAAGCACAATGAACAGCGAACAGTTCTAACTATGCTGTCTGTCAGATGTTAATGGCTGTACATCTAACTAATCAAAAATAAAAATAGAATCATTTGGTTGGCTGTTTGCAGAGTGGAATCTTTCCCAAACTTATCACCTGGAATCTACCCCTCTCTCAGTTCTTCATGAATGTCTCTTGTTGTCAGCGTCCCTGAGCAATCCGAAACAGCGTGCGTGTCTGAAGGTGTGCACACGGCCCACCCCTGTGCCCCGAGTCCTACTGAGCTGGCCAGCCCTGCACACTATTATCCTCGTGTGCAGCGAGCCTTACACCGACCGATTGGCTGATCAGGAGGCGTTTTTATGGACGCCCCCCGAAGTCCTCAGGAATTATTTAACGTCGCAAACAGGACGACGACCACAGCCAATGGAAGGTCCCCGCCGGTACTTATTTATAGACGTTCGGTTCTCGTCTTTCCCGTAGGGCTGGCCTGCCCACAGAACCCATGTACAGCGCAGCGAGCAGACAAAGGACAAAGCAGCAAAGCTTGCGTGCTCTACTCCCGGTGGGTTGGCATGGTGACCGTGACCCAGTGCTTCGTCCAGGGCCCTTCAGATAGCACCGCGCTCTCTCCTTCCAGATGCTCCACGTGAACACTGACGACTCTCAAGGTTGAGCGCACTCGACTCCTCACATGAGAGGACTCTCAACACAGAACACACATCCTCACGGTAAGAAGTCTGAAGAGGGTAGATAAGGTTAGGTGCAACGTACCTCAAAATGGCTGCCCCCAACCACAGATATTCTCACCAGATGACCCGAAGTCGATTGTGATGACCAGTCGCTGCTTCGGCACAACCAGCATTACACCGCCATTCCACCTCAGCATCAATCGAACATCAGTTAGTTCTCATCACACTGCGAACACCCAATATTCACCACTTAGCCTTCCTCGCGATCTCCTCTCCTCCTGGCTCGCCTGCTTGCCTTCGCCCTCCTCACTACACACTCCCTACGGCCGCTCGCCCAGCAGACCGCGTGCATGTACCACAGAGGCAGAAGACAAGCGCCAGATGAGCGCAACATACCACAGCTCCGATACCAAATTGCAAGGAAAATGAGTGATAGCGAACATCAGAAACCAAGCAGCATCATACACATGAGACCAGATAGTCGTGACTCGAACCAAAAGCAGAATTGCAACACGAGTCCCACCAAATAATAGTACAGCAAAAGCTCATAAGTGACAATGTTCGAGTAGTCTCATAATCATCAACAAAGAACCAATGTCGACATCCTATCTGGCGCTCGGCGCCCAGACTACAAATGGCAGATCCTATCTAGCCTATCTACATTGCCGCTGGTGACGTCAACAGCTCCACGAAGTACGAGCAGATCTCGGCCAATGCCGTTTGCTTCAAGCACCAGATATGTCTCTCGTATCACTCACAACCTCGTTCCCCAACTCACAGATGCCACATGCACCCAAGGACCACCATGCGCCCCATCCAGCATACAGCAGCGCAGCTCGGCTATGGCTGCCTGCTCCTTCCAGCTCGCCCGTGAGCGCGTGAGCGCTGGCCAGCGTTAGCGCAGCAGCGCTTGCGCAGCATGCAGCCAGTGCCCGAATGTCCAATGCGTGGGAAGGCCCTTCCCTATATCGAAGTGGCCTGCTGCTGCGTGCGGTAATGCGGTACTGGGCCCCGGCCCAGAAGCTTCCGGTAGGCCCCAGGAGGCTGATCCTCAGTTCAAAGGAAACAGGACCAGGGCCTGTGGTGGTTACTAGCGCCCAACGGTCCTCAGCCTTTGTTTGGTCCATGTTGTGTATCTGGCCCAGGGCCTGCCTCAGTTACATACGATGAAAGGCAGCCTGGGCCTGGGTGCTTCCAACCAACTGGCGCTGCGCAACTGCCTGAATTTTCCCCAGTTGCGTAGTAGTCCAAAATAGGCCTTGGTCGGGTCTGCCTTCACTTAGGGCGGCCGACCTTGCTGATAACAGGGCCCAGTGGGGCTTATTGAGGCCTTGTGCCTCGCACTTCCTTTTTTGTACTTGAAAAGGGCTATGGCCTTGATATATCATCATTTGAACTAACCGGCTCTAGGTAATTCAGAATTGCAGAATTTTACTATGCTGGGCCGTCGCCCGGCCCTGCAAGCCCGGGCCAATTGGGCAGAGGGGGGCTCGCCCGCCAAAACCAGACAGGTTAAAAAATAGGCAAGGATCCCCCCCCAACCAAAAAAAAAAAGGACTTCAGGCCAGGACTGTGCTTGGCCTAAGCAGTCAGAATTTGGTCTGAACTTCGATTTCGGTGATGGGTTATCCAGGGGATGTTGGGGGTATAAACAGTGACTAAAGGGGTTTAAAAGGGTACATTTTGAGAGAATTTTTGACCCATGTTTTCTCATTTACTTTTTTTTTTTTTTTTTTTTTTCCTTCTTGCGTGTCACCCTTGCGCAGGGGCCATGCTAATATTCTCTGTATCGCTCCAATTTTAACAGATGTCCTGAAGGACTTCTCATTTACTTTCTCGTTGATTTTTTATCTTAAAATTAAGAAGGAATTTCGAGGTGGTCCCCAGCCAAATGTTGTTCGTATTGGAATTTTACACAACATTTTTTTTTGTCCGGATTAAAAAAAAAAATCCCTATTTTTTAAACATTATGTGGTGGGACTGCCCGGGACCTTGCCCGGACGCTGCCTGGCCCGGGCGACCTTCCCCCTGCCGGGCCGTCCGGGGACCAGCACAAATACTTTACTCATCTGCTTCTGGTGGAGTTCGAACTCAGGTCTGTATGTCAATTTTCAACAGTTCAGTGGTGTACCAACTGAGCTAGGCCAGTTGGTGAATAACCTTTTTCGTTTTTGTTTTGTCCGCAGAAAAATGCAACAAAAAAAGGAAAAAGGGACAAAACAATAACCTTTTTCGTTTTTGTTTTGTCGGAAATTTGTCCCCTTTTTCTCTCTTTTGTTGCATTTTTTTTGCGGCATTCTCCTTTTGTTGTCTTTTCATTTTTGTTTACCTGTCCGGTTTTGTCGCCTTTCCCTTTTTTTTTTGCCACCGGTTCCTTTCATCCCTTCTTGTGATTGTTTTCACTCGATAAGTTCGGTCACAAATTTTGAGCCCTGCCCAGGCCTCTACTGCGCCTTACATGGCTATAGGGTGGATGTGAACTGAGGGCGATACTGAAGCTAGCATTTGTTGTTCTGATTGGAGGACATGGTACTGCTGGTCATTTTGGTCATTGAATTATTGAGTGAAGGGATATACGTAGCGCGGCGTTCGACCAGGCCTTAAGAAAGCTCGGCGCAGACAAATTGAGCAAAGAAGATGTTCTTAGATTACCTGTGGAAGCTTTGGAGCCAAAAGTATGCAGCTGGATGCAATGCGTGAAAGTTGTGGTGAGTTCTTCACCACCCGAACCCTGGTTAAATAGGACAGTGCAATGCCTAGACTCACCCTCCGTTTCTGATTAGATACTGCAATGGCAAGCTGATTCCCCCCCTCCCCCTCCCCCTCTTCTCTCTCTCTCTCTCTCTCACACACACACACACACAC